CGGTCTGCTGCTGTAGCCACCCCACCGCCGGCTGCAGCCCCTCTGTCTGCTCGTCGCCGAGGGCGCCCTCCTGTGGCCTCCACCTCCGCTCCAGCTCGGCCGCAGCAGCAGCCTTCACAACGGCCGCAGCGTGAAGCTGGCCGCAGGAAAGCGGCGCAGCCCGTCTCCGCCCCTGCCAAGCCTGTGAAGTGCCAGGGCGGGCGGCGTCCCTGGGACGGGCGAACCGGGGTTCTTGGATCCGGCTCTTCAGGAGATGGTGACCGCACCACAGAGATCGTGGTCCCGCTGGCGAAGGACGCGATACAACCTCCAGATGAGGTCAGGTTTTTACAGCCCATACTTCATCGTACCCAAGAAAGGCGGTGGGCCCTTCACAAGCTCCCGTTCAGGATGTTGACGCAGAAACGCATCTTTCAATGCGTCCGTCCTTTCGAATGCTTTATGTACTATACAAAAACATACTGTAACAAGATTAATTTCAATTCCTTCATATTTTTGAAAGGCTGAAATGTTCCCATGGGAAAGCTAACAAATAAATGAGCTAAATTAAGTTTTATTCAAGTCAGTATTTTAGTATCTTTGATTTTTTGTTAATATTTTGAATTATATTTTATTTTTATATTTTCTGTTTTTGTTTTAATTGTAAAGTTTTTGCAATTTTGTTTTTGTCATTGACATTTTTTACTATTTTTTAATCTATAATTTTAAAGCTTTAGCTTTAGTTATTTTAGTACTTCATTTAAAAGTAAATTAAAATTAGAAAAATAAATAAAATGTTTTATATATATATATATATATATATATATACTGTATATATGAGTAGTCACCATTTGAAGTGGATCAAAAAAGTTAAGTTTATTGTTGCTTTATTTTTTAATTGCATTTTTTTACAGCAGTAAATTGGTTTAATCAGCATAAATTAAGTTTATTAGGTGCTTCAAAAATTATGACAATTGAAATAATGAAGTTTTTTTTTCACATTACAGTAGATGTCTGACTCTCTAAATGTAATCTTTTTATTTCTTTCTTTGAATTTTGAGGTGAACTGCAGTATGACCTGAAGATGTCTGTGACCGCTTTCACGAGACTCACCCTTGCACGCAATCCTGCGCTACATTTGTACTTTACTACGAGAGCAGGTTTGCTCATTCACTGCTGAGAGTTCGTGCCAACTTTAAAGGTCAGAAATTCTCAACATGCATGACTGAAAAGATTCGAAACCCTCACTTTTAAAAGAGGCTTTCATGCATGAATGTGTCACTCATCAGCTCAGATCCACACCTCTCTGCTGAATTTCACCCCAGCATCACAAGACACAAGTCATATTTTATATAAAGAAAACACTTCGCACTAAGCTCTCATTAGCTAACAATGAATGATCAACTTTTACAACATCTATTAATAGTTGTTCAGTGCATTAACTAACATTCAAAGATGCAACTTTTGATTAGGAAAAAATCTATTAATAAATGTCTAAATAACAGTAAATAAAACAATAAAAGTAAGGTTTCATTTGTTTACATTAGTTCATGCATTAATGCAATAAGCAGTACATTTTACTGCATTTATTAATCATTAGTTATTGTTGCTCTAAAAATATTTAAAAGATTTTACAGCAGTTTTTCATGTTCGTTCACAATGCATTAACTGTTAACAGATGCAAATTTAGATTTAAAAATGTATTGAAAATAACAAATGAGCATTATTAGATGCTGTAGAGGTGTATTGTTCATTGTTAGTTAATTTTAAGTAATGTAGTTTACAAATGAGACCTTTTTTAAGAAGGCTATTTTTTATTTCTTTTGCATTTTATGCATTTGTGACATTATTTTCTTTGCAAAATGTTGAATCGTGACTGGTTTTTGTTTGAGCTGCTGCAGAGGTGAAGGGCGAGGCAAGCATATTTCCAGCGC